GCTTCACGCTGAAGTCGGCGACACAGCAGCCCGCCGCGCCGTCCTTCCTGGGGTGCCGGAAGCGGACGGGGCGGGGGGCGGGGCGGAGCCGAGCTCCCTTTGCCGATCTTGTCAGCTCCCCCAGATGTGGAAAGAGCGATGAGTGTGAAGTGAGTGGCATTCTCCAAACGTCCCCTTCCCTACGCCACAGGGAGATGCTTCCGTTTTCTGAGACCCTCCGAACGGAGACCGACGAGCAGCGGCTGCCTGTCACACCAACGACCTAGCTTTAACAGCAGCAAATCCTTTATTTTTTAAATGCAGTGGATTTTTCAAAATTTAAAACTAAGCAGAGCAGCTTTAGCCTCATAGTTAGGAAATATTTGTTTGGACTCAAGCTGAAATACAAGCCGCCTTATCGCTTCGTGCTTTATTTGTTTATAACGTTTTTATACGTAAACGAGGGTTCTTCGGCAGGTTTTGAGCACTCTGTGGGCCCTGCATCTAGCCCGGGGGCAGCATGCCTGTACCGGTGGTGGGTTTCACTTCACCGACCCCCTCCAGCCCTGTGTAGGAAGCTCCCGCCGGCCAGAGGGCTCCTGGGCTGCTGGGGGTGGGGGACAGGACAAAGAACAGCCAGCACCCGCTGCCGCGCTGCCCTGTCGTGGGCCAGGCCGTACCTGGCCGAGCCCACGCGTCACGGTCAGTGGCTCCAGCCTATCTGCTGCGTGCCAGCCAGGGACAAGTGAGAAGTGGAGGGACCCTGCAGGGCAGCTCGGGGCTGGGGTTGGGGTCAGCTGGAGCTCTGCTGTCGCCTTTTCTCAGGGCCCACAAAGGTCTCTCTGCCGTCTGGAAGCTGCCGTAGCCCAGCAGCTTCTCACCCAGGGGCCCATGTGTCGGGTGTGTCCGGACGGGCACCTGTGCCTTACTGCCTCTTAGCGAGCGTGAGCCTGGCCTGCGTGTGCGTCTGTGCGCTTCCTGGGGGGCCCTCAGCTCAAAGTATCCACTTTGGTGGACGGTGGCCTGGGTGTCTATTGGTCCACGCTCGTGCCGTGGGGAGAACACTACTCAGTGTCTCTCCAGAGTTAGAATCTCTCAGAAGGCCGGAAGCTGGGCTAAGAGCTAATTTGTTTTAGGGGAAATAATGGGTAATTTGTCAATAAAGCATTCCTTTGGGGAAAAAGCCACTTCAGCGTGTGTGTCTTCATTCCGGAAGGTGATGAAAAGGTGGCATGTAAACCAACAGACAAAATTCCTGTTGTCATGAGCCTACTCCCCAGGGCGAGGCAGGCAGGAAGTAGATGATTTCAAGTTCAAACTCCAAATCCAGTGCTGGGAAGGAAACCAGCACGCTGGGAAGGAAACCACGCTGAGCAGGGATAGAAAGGTGAGCCTGTGGGTTGTCCAGGGAGGGGTGTGGGGGTGAGGGGGACTAGCCAGGTTACAGACTGGGTCGGCTGAGCCACAGGAGTCGGGCACATAGGCCAGGTGTCGCCCATTGAGGGGGTGGCCTGGGATGAGCATCTGGCTTCACGTAGAACACAGCTGCAGAGCCAGGAGCCCGCATGCACCCCTCAGCCAAGTGGAGGAAGCTCAGTGAGTGGGGAGTGACAGGAAGAGGGTCCTGCGCCTCCGGCCAGCAGTGTGCCACCTAGGGGCCCATCCCCACGACTCCACTCTGCCACTGGAGCCACATGAAGAAAGCAACGGGCGAATGACGGTCCTGAGAACGAGGCAGGGCAGAACAGAGATGAGCCAAGGTGGCAGGGACCCCTGCCGGGGGCGGAGGGCCTCGCAAGCCAGGCAGGCTGAGGCTCCTGACAGCGGCGTTGAGTGAGACAGCCCCTGCGGCAGGCCTTTGGGCCGGGAGACCAGTTTTAAGGAAGTCCACGTACCTGTTCCCTGCCCCCACTACCCCGGCCTCTGAGGACAACAGCTGCTCATCCTCCTAGTACTTCCGCATGGGAAAGAAAGAATTCTCCCTTCCCTTTCGTACAGTGCCCTGCAACCTACTTTTTTTTCAGCCAGTGGGGTGCCAGCCACCCCCATCCCCAAGGCCCTGCAGGGAGAGCTGGCTGGCTGCTTTGCATGTGCCCATTCTCCATATCTCAGGGGCTCAGCGAGAAACCCCTCTACCGGGGGCATTTGGCCTCCTTTAGGATCAGAGAGCCAGGCTTGCCCTGGTGTCACAGCAGGGAAAGTCAGTGACTTGCCTGTCGGCAGCCGTCCCAGCCCAAATCTAACAGCAGTGAGCTGGGACAAGGGATGGAAAGCACCACGGCCGCTGGCAGCGGACATTCCCCCTCACTGAGGTTGGAAATGGGTTTCGTGTGGTCTTTAACATTTAAACGTCCTGGGGGAAGCGTCAGCTAGGCTTTCGTGGGGTCCGAGGGTGAGTTTGACAAGGACCCAGCTGCCCAGGGCTTTGCACTTCCTGTTGTGGAGAAGACAAGGTGTTCCCCTAAATAACAGATGAGCTCAGAGAGCTTGGAAGACAGAGTGAGCAGTGGAGGGATGGGCACTGAGTAGCACAGGGCCGACTTTCCCTAAAGACTCCTAGGTGACAAAAAGGGGCCCGCCTTGCACAATCAACAGGTGTGTGAAGCACAGGGCCTGACTAGCCACTGCCCACATGTGCTTTTTACAAAATGTGCTTTTTACATATCATGCATCTTGCTCATTTTACTGTCAGGAGGTATCACAAGAATTTTCTGTTCCTATGTAGCCTTTCCATACATTTTTAAACTTTCATTTGTGTGTGCTTACTCGTACAGTAGGTAGGTTGACACTTTTACTGTTATAAAACACTGTCAACAGCAGCTTAGTGCGCATAAATTTTTCTGTACTTGGGAACATATTCTTAGGAAGGATATCCCTAAAGCGGAGCTACACGGTCAGCGAGGGACTCCCTGAGCCCCAAGTCATTCATTCTTGCAGCTTCAGTCTAAAATTGGTCCCAGGTCCATTCCGTTCTCTCATTTCTCCTGTGATTCTAGCCCCAAATCTTTCATCCTCTGGAATCGACAGACATAGATACCAATCTGGCCCTTCTGCTTCTGCTTCTTGGTTTTCCTGGGCCTTTTCTTGTCGACTGCTTGATACTGCACGATTTGATGACCAGCAGGAGACTTCCTGAGCCCTGCCACTTTCAGGCCCCGAGCCCGGGACAAACTGAGCAGTTCAAGGCCAGCATGGTGGCAAAGAGGTGTAAGAAGGAGATGGGGGCCAGGGCTCGTTGGCAGAGTTCAGACGGTAGGAAGCCTCGGATGTCAGCAGGTTTCCGTTTGGAGAAGACGACTCCGCTGAATGGACATGGCCAATGGGCAAGAGTGGAAGTGAGGCGCAGGAGCACTGACCATATGTTGGGGTATGTTGGGGTGGCACATACTGGGTACCGTGCACAGAGCAGGCGCTCGGCCACGGGGAGTCTGGGTGGGGAAGGTCTGCCCTCCGTCAGCGGGTGAATGGGGTGAGCGGGGAATAAGTGAGTGGAAGATGGTTCTCCTGCAGTTCCACGCCATCGCCGTCGTTCGGAGGTGATTCCGGGAGGGTGGCTGGACGGTGGAGATGGCACTTCGGTGACTGAGCAGGAAGGAAGTCCCATCTCTGCGCTCCAGGGATGAGCAAACGTCAGTCCCAAACAGTGGCTGGGTAGGGGGCCGTCGGCCTCCGAGTCATCTACCGGTTCCCTGTCGCGTTCTTTGACGAGGACAATTAGGTTTTCTCTGTCTTACATAAAGCGCTGAGCAACGTCAGCTGCAGGGCAAGTCCCCGCACGTCGTCTTCCGGGTGGCTCGCCGCGGCACCTACGGCCCACCCGAGAGCACCCGAGACGCCGGCGGCCG